ATCCAATTCTTACACGATCCCCATCAGGGGTGAGAAATCTGTCTTTGGGAGCCAAGCAGGTGAAGCCAACAAATCTGGAGAGGTGATATTGTCTTACAATTGCGTGTTACCTATAGTGGGAACTCTTCCAACGAGGGAGATTGAGACAGTTAATGATCCATAATTCTTCTACATGTAATGGGAATGTTTATTTATGTAAATTGCAAATTAAAGGTGGGGAGCGGTAGGTTTTTTGATTATGTCAAGCTTAAACGGAAAAGTAGCGATAAAGAAAAAATTATAAGGAGATAGAAAACTGTTTATGATTTTGAGGATATGATAAATTCTTGCACTCTGATGGTGATTTATTAATAGTGGGGTTGTGTGAACATGATGATGCTTCCTATATGTCAGAATCACCAATGATGGAAGGCGCAGGAATGAGTATATTTGATGGGGAGATTGACATAAGACTAGTGGGAAGGGCTAGTAATAAGAGTAAGAAAAAATGCTTCAATGGTGTCTCCGGCTGATATAAGTTAAAGTGTAAAATTGGGTTGAGATAACAACTACGCAAAAAGTGGGGTTGGGAGTTTTGTTTGTATTACTCTTTGCCATTCAAATGTCTTTAAAATTTGCGAGTAATCTCATCTATTCCTAATTTCTATCATCATGCTAATACTTTTTATGAGAATGAAAATGCTGGGACTTTTGTGGTGAGCATGTGTTCTAGTTTGGGACTTTCACCCAGTCTTTGGGGGGTATGATAGAAACAAGTTACCTTTATGCAAGAGAGAAGATAGGTTGTGGGGAGGACCAACTAATTGTAGACCTCCTTGGGGATGGGGGAGACAACCAAGTGGCACAAACTCTCTCAGAGAAAATGGGTTTTAAGTTGAAGCTGGTTAGTCCTATAGAGGAGGAAATTAAAGTAGGAGTGTCACCTCTAGTATATAGAAGGGGAAGTAAGTAGGGTGAGAGGGAGTTAAAGAATCTGCAATGTGAGTTTAATTATGATTACTTGATTAGTTGGACTATGAGGGGATTGGAGAGTTGGAGGAAGAGAAAAATGATTAAGGAAGTGTTTCTAAGAGCTTCTCTAGACTTAGTTATGTGTTAGGAGACAAAGTTAGAGGCGATAGATAGGGTTCCAGTTAGGAGTATTTGTGAGTCCAGATTTAAGGATTGAGTTTTTTACATTCATGTAGATCTTCTGGGGATATTGTTGTGATATGGGATACTAGGTTTGCTATTAGGATATATTGTGTTCTTGGCTCCTTTTTTGTGTCGGTTTTACTTCTACAGTGGAACAGATGTTGTAAATTATTCCAAGTGATTGGTGAGACTTTAGTTTGCCTTTCCATAGTGGAACAAATGTTGTAAATTAAGTTTTGGTGTTTTAATAATAAAAAAGAAGCGAAGGTAATATGGAATTGTAGGTTCATGGCAACTCTTTGGTATATTTGGATCGAGAGAAATGTAAGAATTTTCAGTAACCATTATCTTCCTTCTAAATTAGTATGGGAAATAATTGTTTTTATGGCTTCACTTTGGTTAAAAGCCATAGGAATTTTGAAAGTTTGCCTTTATTGGATCTTCAACGGAATTGGTAGACGACTTTATTTTAGTTTTTTTTCGTCAAGACTTTTCTTTGATATGTATGTAGTTTTTATTCATTTTGAGGATATTTTGTCCTCAATATTGTAATCCTTTTTCTTTCTTCCATTCTATAATAAAATTCTTCTTTTATAATAAATAAATGGGTATACTATCCAAGACCGACTGGACTAGTGTAAGTCTTCTTCGAGATAAACACTCTTTTCCACCATCTAACCTTTTTTGAATCCTTTCAATAACCGGATTTCAAAAACTCACAAATAAAGGTTTTCCTCCTAAAGGCAACCCCAAATATTTCAGGGGCCATTCATCAACCTCACATTCTAATCCTCTAACAGCCCTATGTAGAATCTCCCTTTGAACATTAATCCCAACCACCGTACTCTTGGACATTAACTTTCAAACTCGACATGAAACCAAAGGCCTTAATGATCTCTACTAAATTTTGAAATTTTCCTTCATCTCCTGAAAGGAAGAATATGGTATCAAATCTCTACCCAATCCCTACCCACCCTAAAACCCTCAATGATATTAGACTCCCTAGCTCTTTTAACTAAAGAACTAAGCCCATCTGCAACCAAAGTGAATAAGAATGGTGACAAAGGATCTCCTCGCCTAAGCCCTCTAGAAGCATTAAATCTACCTCGTGGTTTCCCATTAATCAATACTGAAAAATTCATCGACTCTAGGCACTCTGTAATCCACCTCCACCATCTACCTCCAAACCCCTTACCCTCTAAGACAAAATCCAAAAAATCCCAATTAACATGGTCATATACTTTTTCAAAATCAATCTTAAACACCAACCTTTCTTTTCCTTTAGCTTTATACTTCTCAACCACCTCATTGGCTGTTAAAACAGTGTCAATAATTTGCCTTCCCCTAACAAAAGCCCCCCGGTACTTTGAAATTGTATTCCCTAATACTTCTTTCAACCTTCCTGATTAAACTTTTACCAAAATCTTGTATAAGCTAGTCACCAAACTAATAGACCTATAGTCCTAAATTTTCAATTGTTTTTTTTTTGGGATCAACAAATATTTGTAGCTTTATTATCATATACACACAATTCCATTATTAAAAAACTCCTTGAATACCTTCATCAAATCATTCGCCTCTTTCACCTCCATCTCCTCGGTCTCTCTAACCACAAAGCCCTCCCCTCATTAATAGGACACCAATTTAATCCTATCACTCCCGGCCTCACACTTTTATCTTCAAAATATAATTTCTCATAGAACTTAGTTATTTCCTCAACAATTCTCCCTTTCTCCACCAAAATTACTCTGTTTTCCATTTCCAGCGTATTGTATTGTGTTGTTGAAATGCCTAAAGATTGTTAGACATAATCTTTAATTTGATGCATATTTTTAAGCATAAGCTGAGCTACGTTTTTATTGCTATTTTGGAGTTCATGCTGGTGGATTTTGTTATTGACACAACAGACTATGTGATCTCTTCGTACTAACACTTGCCTTTTTCCAGAGAATTCTCAGGTGGCCAATGCAAGGTTTCAGGCTGCTGCTGCAATTCGAAATGCAGCTTTAAGAGAATGGGGATTCCTCACAATTGATGAGAAAAGGGGCTTGATTAGGTAATTTTACGAATTGAAAATCCAACTGATATCCTGTATAAGCACATCGTTACTTTCATTCTATGGTGGCTAAATGGAGATATGTTTTATTATGTTTAAACTCTTCATCTGTACGCACCATAATTGCGCTATTTATCATATTGTAAGAGAAGTTCTCAACTGTTTTCTAATATCATGCTCTCTGCAATCAGATTACTGACTTTGCAAAGGAATGATTTTGCTGCAGTTTTTGTTTGTGCTTTGTGATGCAACATGCTAATTCACCCGAGGGCTATGTCCAATCAAAAGTTGCTTCTGTGGCTGCTCAGTTGATGAAAAGGGGCTGGTGAGTTACTCATAATCTAAATTCTTACCTCATATTGTAGCCAGCAAGTATGCATGAATAGAAAACAGGCTAATGCCATCAGCTATAATTTATCAGCAATGTTGCAGGGGCTAAGGAAGCTCTCACATCTTTTGATGGTTGCAATGTGTACATATTGAATTAGATCGAAAATCTGACAGTATGTCACTATGATAGGCATGAGACATTGAGAAGTAGAGTTCATTGCATTTAAGAAAAATAAAAAGGAGAGTAGAAAAAAATTGTAAGTGAGGTCATCCAAAAAACTGAAAAAATAGGTAAAAAAAAAGCTCTTGCGGCCTTTTGGTGGTCTTTAAATGTAATTAGTTTCTAGGTGGTGATGTGAATATTAGTAATTAAGGAAAGTTGGAAAACTTCAAGGTTCAAGTAAAGAAAGATATGGATTTAGGTCATAGTGATAAAGAGGATTTGCTTAGCCAGTTATAAGGGGCAGTCTCACAAGATAGTTGGACGTAGTTTCTTTACCTTCACTTCAAAGCTTTGATCACTTTGGACCAATGAATTGGGTTAGGACAATGGGGTGACGTTTTTAGTGGATCTTTCTTTTTTCTCTTTTCTTGGGTTAGTTACACCCATACCCTAGAGGATTCTCGATAAATTGCACGGATCTCTTTAGGTATGGAAAGTTGTCAGTAATGATTTCGAAACGGAAACAACAAAAAATGATGAGTTTGGCAATGTACTCCTTATGTGGCTAAATGTCATAGGGGTTAAAATCACTCATGACTTTTTGCCTCTATGACGACATTAAGTCTCACACGTAGTCTAAGCTGACACACACTCGAGTTTCTCACAGAATATATCAAACACAAGGCAGGAACCACGATTACAGGTGGTCTACCTACCCCAAAGGGTCCATCTAAGGCTATGCTTTACAAAATGTCTACCCTTTCTCCCTTGGGTATTCTGCAGACCTTAGCAAGGTATTTATAGGCAACTATGATAGTTACAATCCAACTGTCTAGGCTATGTCGGAGCCAACTAGGCCATGCGTTGACATCTGCAGCTTTTAGGTGTGTTGTCACAATGCAGACCACGCCGCACAAGTCTGTAGTGGTTATCCACAAACCAACAAGCCTCTAGATGCAATCAAATATGCAGGAGCAATTGTTTCCTGGTGACCACCCAAATCGCTACCAACCGCTTGCTTGGTTAGAACAATGCCTTCCCTGTGTCCCCAACATGTTGCCATGCCTGTGCCACCGTGCCAAGCCTTGCCCAACCCATGGCTTTAAAGCATGCAAGAACGCCTTTGCCTTGCCTCAAAATACCCAATTGTATCCATGATATGCTTCTTTCCTCAGCCATGTGTGGGCTTTGGCTAGTGACAGGTTGCACCAATACATTGATCCCACATTTTTTTGGGTCTCAAACTTGCGTGCCTTGCTCACCGTTGGCAAGCTTTCTTTTATCGTGCCTTGCTTTGGCATGCCAAGTGTAAGGAGCATTAGGGTTTCTAGGCCAGGTGCCCCATGGAGCACTCTCCTTACGTATGCTTTAGAAAAGAAAACCTAAGTGCCATCAATGGACATCAGAGAGTTGAGGAATCATAATACAAAATTGCTGTTGCTTAGCATTTTTGCTTGATTAGCTTGACCATTGGCCTGTCGGCTATGCCTACGTGTACTGTCCAGCAACCAAACTTGTCAATCATCAACCAAAGTGTCTCAAACCACTTAATCACCTAAACACTCCCACCTTGATCTTGGCATGGAGAACTATTGGGCAAGTCACCCGCATTCCATGGCCGTGCCAAATTATCAAAGGCTAACAAACCACCCCCACCAAAAGAAATTGACATCCTTGTCTAGAGATTGTCCCAATACTCTTTGATCTTGTTTTTCAATTACCAATGACTAACATTCTCTTTGAATTAGCCTATGCTTCCGAGCCACTTTTCCATTGAACCAGAAAATCAGTATTGCCATTCTTCTTTGGTCCTCGGTCTTGTGAGGATGATCTTGCCGATTTCCTTATGAAACTTCTCATAACTTGTCTTCGTCTGGCATCAAGCAAGGCTTAATGATGAGGCTTCAGAAAACTCATATGAAAAGTAGAATAAATTTTCAAGCGATCCAATAGCTCCAAGCGATAGGCAACGTTTCCATCCCGATTCATCAATGCGAAAGGTTCAACCCTCGGTGCACTTTGTTGTTGTTTATCTTCTTCAAAATCTATGGAGCCAGTTTCGTCAAAACTTTGTCACCCACTTGAAATTTCAGCGGCCATCGATCTTTTGCATACTGCTTTATCCGTCAGACAACCTTGGCTAGACTATCATTTGCCTACTTAAGCAGCTCTTGATTGGAGCAAGTAAAGTAGTATGTAGTGGGACATTTATCTCCGGTCTTCATCTCGCCACTTCATGTGGCTTAAGTGGTTGTTGTCCCATAGCTAACTCTTAGGGACTCATGCGTCTTACAAAAATTCTGTGCAAGTTGTACCAAAATTGGGTTGTATCCAACAGATCCACCTATTTTTTCTGACTTGTCGTAACATAGTGTCGCATGTACTTCCTCTAACAATGCATTTATCCTCTCGACAAATTTGCAATGAAATCCATTGAATTTGACTGCCCTAGTCAGTCAGGGATGGGCATGGGTTGTAGCAATCCTGCCTGTCTTCTCCAACTTATCAAGTTGGTGGAGCCTCAACGTCATTTTCCATCTTGGCCCAAATAATAGGAACAAGACAACAATGCCACCATTCTCTCGATTCCAGGATGGCCAGTCCATTGAGAGTTGTGTTTCCAGCATCAACTCTTGCCTTAGTCACCTTATATTAGGGTATAGAGTATGCCTCCCATGGCATAGAGTAAGTCATAATCTAGTCAATTCTTGTGAACCAAACCCTCACTAAGGACTTGTTTGAGTTTGTAGCAAGTAGTGCCTCCAAATCTCCGAGCAATGCATTATTGCAGTTATCTCCTTCACATGCGACAAATAGCATTGTTCTGCATCTTTGAGCTTTCGGCTTGTAAAGGCAACGAGTGTCCGTCTTGGACTAGAACTCCTCCAATGGCTTGGTCAGAAGCAGCAATGTGCATTTCGAAAAGCAAATTGAAGTCTATAACCGCTGCATGTTTCAGCTTCTCAAAAACAGTCTGACAAGCATTCATCCAATCCCACTTTTGATCTTTCTTAAGCAAGTCAGAGAGTTTGTCTTCTTGGAGTACCCTTGGATGAACTTGTGGCAAACTGCCAAACCAAGAACGAGCGCAAGTCCAACACCTTGGTTGCTAGAGACCAGTCCACAATTGCCATTACCTTCCTTGATCAAGTTCGATATGACCCCGACAATCCCCAACTGGCTTCACCTTCCTCGTCTGAGTTCGATACGGCTTAGTGCTCGCATCTAATAACAATACACGTTTTCTGAACAACATGAGTGTCACTTGAATTGGTCATGACTTGGTTACGACTCAGTTGACTCAACTTAATTAGGAGTCGTCTCGCTTGAATCGGAAGAGTTGTAATCAGCTCATAATTGATACTCGAAATTGTTCAACAAATACTCGAACAAAATTGAAAGAAAAGGGGAATGAGAAGAAAGAGAAAGGAAAATCATGGAGCCCATATTTGCAAAACCTACATACAACTTGCAAATTTACCCAATTCCATTAGAGAAGAACAAGAATTGTTCATTAGAGAAGAGCAAGAATTGTTCAGCAAACTGAAAAATTGATGTAATTGAAGGATTCGTAAACCAAATTTGCAGAGCAAAACCCTACCTCCAATAAAAAGCTTGAGAAGCACCACAAGACCTTTTTGTTCCTCTTTTTCTTCTTCAAGCTATTGTGACTAGCACACAAGCGGCATGGTTGGTCTCTTTTGTCTTCATTCCCAGTGACCTATGCTTAGATTCGTTTGCACTGAAGACATGATTTTCTTGGTCGCGGATGCGCGCTCTCTCCATCTATCTTTATCTTTGAAGACCAAAAGTCAGTAAAGTGACTTTGTTTGAGCCTCAATCTCAGAGCCATACTCTTATTGTTTAAAGCTTAAAATGTCTGGATATTAATATCCACAGTGAAGGACCATTTGCATTGAAAGAGTGCTGACCTCTATCTTCAATTTTCTTAAATGTCTTAGTTTTTATTTTTTCTTTTTGTAATTTATGTTTTATTTTGAGTAATTTTTTGGCAATTTCTTGCACATTGAATTAATATATTTATTAGCTTTTGTCTTATGTAATTAACAAATAATAATCACACTACATATCATACATGCATAAATGGTTTTTCTTGTTCTTAAATGCTTCTGATAAACACATTGATGAGGATAAATATTTTCGATAGCACCCTTATATTTCATTTTCATAGTTTTTAATGTTTATAGGGACATTTTACACATATGATTCACGAGTCTTGTTTACAATTTTTAGAAATTTTCATGATTGTTTCAGAATTTTTTGGTATTCTATTTAGCCTTTTATGCATATTGTTCGATACCATGGTGCGACACAGTAACCTATGTGTAATGTTCCCTTCAAGCCAATGGTTAGTAGTGCGACATTGAACATGCCTTTGCCCTACACCATTTTACTTATTTATACTAGAAACTGTTAGGATCATGCTTGTAATTGACTAATTTCGTAAAGTCTTTTTGTAAATTTCAACGTATTCCATGGTTATGATACTACATCATTGAAGATTCAAGAGCGTCAATATAGGGGAGGAGATTGTGCTTCAAGCTATATCAAAAGACTCTTTGGATGCACCTTCTTGTTTAGGATAAAGGTACTGACCTAAAGACTTGCACCTTTGGTTTAATTTATTAGACTTAGGTCGATTAGGTAAAATAGAATTGGTGATTGTTTCATTAATGATTCTTAGGTATTTTTCACGAAAAGTTTTTCTAAACCTTAAATGTGTTTTGAAAACATAGTCTTGAGTCATTAATCGGACTTCACTAGAGTAACACCCTTTTGTGTTCAAGGGGATAAGTTGTTTCTTAGTTTCTAGCTTAAAAACCTATAGGAATTGCCCTATGTTCGCTAGCTTTCACTCAAGCTGTCTCTGAATATTTAAGTATAATATTGGGAAATAGTGCATGAGTGGGTAGTGAAGACCATTTTCTGGGTCGCTCTCAGGCTTGTCGAGCGGTTTTGAGATGGCTCGGGCGG